AGGAGGAAAAGTGATCGTTCAGGTGATGCCTGCTCTACTTAACTCGAAGTTGACAAATACTCCTTAATAAATAAGAGCTTTTGCCATGTCTTTTGACACAAATTAAGTTCATTTTACTAAAGTTGTTTTCGCTATAAATGGAAAATCTTTTATGTTTTAATCTCTTATGCTGCCGATATTACCATAGAATACATAAGAAGTCTATCAATCGGTCGTCATAATTAAAACTTGAATTGAATTATGTGAGGTTGGATTAATTACGAATAAATTTAATTCACTTAACTAATTCTTATGAGAGTCACTTGAATCAGGAATGAACCCTATCTTTAGAATATTAGTGGAATGTGGTACTCTTTTCTGATAGTGTAAAATGAAGATGATATTATCGAATTCAAAGAAACAAGGAAAAGTGCCGTTTTACAGTTCTACCAAATGGTGCAAGGAGCTTTTTTCCAACGAAGATTTATTGTCAATGGAAGAAAAGAAGATCTACCATCCTGCACTTTTCCACCAAGTCAAGCGTTTTCTGCTTCAAGGTTTTGAGGACAGCAGGAGCATAATAAGACTACCGAAATAATGTCTTTCTAAAAAATGTTCTAATCAGCAATTGAATGTCAAAAAGGATTTGTGAAATGTCATCTAGAAGGAGCACATCGCATTAATTCAGATCGATTGCTTTGTGTAATTCGATATGACAGTTACCGTACTGTCGAATGCCTATTTTCCCTTTCCGAGCTCTTTCAATTCTCCAGCTGCTGCCATTGACATTTTTCGTGAAAATAATAGCATCATCAAGCGAATTATTACAGATTGTTGTCATATCTAAATGATTTCCAGTAATATTGCGGCAATCGCTAGATCTTAGTTATAGCCATAGTGATTATTTCAGTAAAAACATCTATAATTTCAAACATTGCTGATAAGATAGATTCCAGTGTTATGTTTCAAAAAATAGCAGTTCTGTTATCATTTTTCTGGATCTAAGTTAAGGTGTTCCGAAAATGAGAAGAATTTAATGTCATAAAATGTTTTTAAAGATTGGCGTTTTACCTTTGAGCGAATGGCTTGATAGTGAAATTGAATGATTTGTTAATTGTAGAAATCACTTTAGTTCTGAAGTTGACAAATTTCTAACCTGGATGCGCTCTCTTCTCTATCTTTTAAGTTCAATTTAGCTTCTGCATGCATATAAGTTGGGCGATGTTTATAGTTTCTGAATGATTATTAATGAAATGATGAAAAGCAAAAAGGTATATCAATGAGGTTGGAGAGTTATCTAGATGCTAGGCTGTAGATTGTATTGAGGACTTGCTGACATCATTATGAATACTTCATAGAGTCTCCAAGGGTGTAATATTCACATTAACATCAAGCATGCTCTCAACAACCAATATAGAAACCACATAACGTGAGAAATTGTGTTGTTTTTTTAATTTTATGTCGTTTAATTTTACTCCACAGAGAAAAAAGTACTGCTGAAAGAAATTCCAGATAACTCTCAACACTTCAAGAAAAGTTTACGGATGAAGTCTTGAAATGTCTACGAGGAAAACAAAACAGTCATCAAGATGAAATTCGGTTTCATTTACTACTTGTCCCAGAATTTCATTGAGCTTGTGGGTATTGGGAACATTTGGATATTCAGAGTATGGCCACGAAATCTTCGAAATGGTAGTAGAGATCACACCTACAGTTCGAACTTCTCCTTCTTCAGTTTGCAGTGTTTGCTATAAACATGTTGTGAGAACGAGGTTGTACTCATTCTTCCTAATAATTAGTTGGTAATGCAATGCACGTAAATCTGACCACAAGCAATTAATTATTGTTGAACTGAAAGCTGCTAGATTTCTGTCACTCTTTCAATAGGAAGGCGATAAGAGAAAAATGAGCAGTGGTGAGTTGGACGAATTACTTATATAGAATATGCATTAGTGGAATTAAAATTCCACATATGATCTGACGTTAAATTTAGTTGGACTTTTGTTCTTAAAGTAAATAAATACTTATTAATTATTGTAACTGAGTGCACATCAGATAACCTGAGACATTTCCCTTCATTTAAAGATGAACTATTCTATTTTTGAATTTAATTTTGAATGCAATGTTATAAATTGCTCCCTGAGCAATTACTTTTTTACTTACTTTCAAATTTTTGGCTTTCGATTTGCTTGCGAACAGCAACCAGAAATCATAAAATGTGGGTATATATATAATAAGCTGAAATATCATAAATGAAACAATTCCAGCTTAAATGAAACAATTAACTAAAATAAATAGTACTATGTTTCTGGTTGGTAACCATAAAAAATGAACGAAATAGTCCTCTCAAATAAAATGAACGTCTCGATTCTTGATTACATTACAATTCTAATTTATTCTGTCTTCCATACAACATATATCTGTGTTTCATAACATATTTTTGTGTAAAATTCGAGTAATCTTCAAGCTTTTTTAAAATTTGTTACCATAAATAATTCTGAAAGAGTGGGCAAGTAAAAATAACTTTTGTGAAATGATAAGGAACAGAGTGTGAATGCAAAGTTTATTAACACAAAGTGAGCAAAGTGAATCAAGCAAATTAATAAAACAGTAATAAATAGTAATGGCTATAAAAGAATCAGTCAAGTCAAGCGATATGAAAGCATCAGGAGGAAATGAAGACAATTCAGTACATCGAATCCTCAAATTATAACTTTCGAGCTGATGTTTTTAAAATACATACCCTGAGAACGGATAGAAAAGTGATGAGAGTTGAAGAATAAAGCAAATTGGAATTCAGTCTCATATTTTGAGTAAGCAGAAAATTTAATAAGTGTGATTAGACGACTATTCTTGTTGGAGGACCATTTCTAGATTTGAATAATATTTCGATTTTTTTTTATATTTCTAGAAAACGACTTTTTTAAAATATTTCTAGAAAACGATTAACTGGTAGATAATCTGGTTGAATACCGATAAGAATTGGGATAACGAAGAGTGTGTTTATGACTGGTGGAATGGTTTATTCATTACCTCTAAGGACTGAGGACATATTCATTAAATTAGCTAAATTATCTGTAATATGACTTGGTGTTGCTTCTTTCTCTTGGTCATTTCTTCTGTCTCGTTGTTTTCACCATGTAATCTAAAACAGAAACAGTGATGTCCTCTTGCTCCTATTACCTCACTTCCTTAATCAATATCTTCAGCTTCCCTCACCAATAAATTAATTCAGCGTACAAATAAGGGATCATTTAAAAATGGTTAATTTATCCTCACAAAATAAAATTTTCAATAGTACTAATAACTGCAAAAAAAAATGGAAAAATTGATTTTTTAACTACAGCAAAATGACTGATTAGAATTTTCGAAATTACTGAAACGTAAATAGCAAAAAACGAATGAAAGGAATAATTAGTTAAAAAAAAATTAACTGAAAGTAGATTATAAGAGATAGGATCAAAATATTAGATGCGAAACCCATAAATTTATAATTTACTTATTTTTCAAGAGAACAATCGATACATTGTTTTTTAAATTATGATGTTTTTGAAATGCTGCAGTAATTAACTATTCATGCTGACTAACAACACATTGCTGAACAAATAAGTTTCTTAATCACATCCATCACAATGATAATGACATGATAATGACATTGATGGTTGCTAATAACGCTTCTAATTACTGTCACATGATAGTAATGAATAATGTCAGGGCAATAAGTTGCAAACGCAGAACCTTCTCAAAAGGTGCGTTTTGATTCGTTCGAACAAACTGCATGCTGTATTCATTCATTATCATACATTGTTATCTCGACATTTTGCTGCTGGCTGATTGATTGCTTGAGTGCATAAGGGACCTGTTGTGCCACAATAACAATTTAGCAACATAGAAGAGTAAGTTCAGATTTATTTCTGAAATGGTTAATATCCTGGACTCTTTTTTACTTCAGTCTTTTTTCCCTCTTACTGTGTTTCTTGAGAGATTTTAAAATAAGCATTTGTCAATATATGTGATGATAAGGTTTTTTTCTTTCTTCATATACCATAGATGACACTTGCTCATATCCATTCACTATAATCTAATAAGTAAAGATTAGTTGATACAGTGAAGTAAACAAAGCGAAATGACATCTGAGAGCTTTTGTAACCACGTATGTAAGAAGACTGATACAAGTGAATAATTAGTAGTAACCGGACCATGAAGAATAAATGAGGATATAAAGCAGATGTTTACACTCCAACATGCTTTTATCATTTTATTGAAATAACGTTATGTAGGGAATAGCAGCATATTGCAGTTGTTTCAGTCTTTTCCGCTACACTAATTTTACAGTCTTTCTTACTCAGATGTTTTCTTTCTACTGCTAGTACGCAAAATGCACATTTATTAGTGCATTACGAATTCTCTTCGAATCCATTGAAATTTCAATAAATTCCTAAATTCTCGTTTGAAATATGCTGTTTTTCTTTATGCCAGTGAAGGGATGTAATCAAGAAAATAGGGAATTAGTGGAAGTTTAAATATCTGAATTTCATCCAAAGTACGGAAGGATAGACTAAATTTCAGCGAAAAACCAATTGAATAATAGTCGTTGTTTAATTAGCTAAGCTGTACGTTGAGTGGGGTTCGACGATTGATTTCATCAACTGAATCCTGTGTAATCTTATCGTTCTTCAGTCGTACATTCGAGCTGAAATTGGTCTCAGACAAAAAGCTGGGATAGTTGAATAATACATTAAATTCTATTATAAAATCTCATTCTGAGGACCACGAACTGAATTCTCTTTAAATTCTTTCTATCGTGTGGCTCATTTCAATACGGTTGAAGCAAACGAGTACTGAAGATAATGTTGATGTTCTCGCATTAATGGTGTGTTGTTCGAAAGGAACTAAAGCGTCAGTGTAACGATTTTCTAGGCAATTTCATAAATTTCAAATATTTTACAAAGTAAAAAAGAAAAAAGCTACAAGTTAGAAACAACATTGCCAAGTTACCATTAATTGAGGTCTGTTTGTCTATGATTTTCTGGATTTCTGGTGACATTTCAGAATTGAATTTAATCCCCGAATATCCGACAAAACTAAGAAGTATTAATTCCTTGTTCAAGAGAAAATTGAATTTATTATCTATTCATTCAAGTAAAAGGGCAAAATTAAGTATTGGGAATGATCCTAATTTTCTTCTATTCAAAATTTTCAGCAAGTTAAATACAGATCATATACAGTTGTACTTACTTTTTTTTAGTCTAATCGCCTTTTTTATTAGTCTAACCGTTTTTTTATTGTGACAACAAAAAATATTAGTTTTCTAAATAATATCCCAAGTATAATAAAATGTGAAATGGTCTTAGTGGTTTTAAAATTTATGTCACTTTTTATTAAGCCATGATCAATAATTTGATGATATTAACCATTATATAGAAATAATTAAAGTCTTTTGTAGGACTAACAATTATCTGTTATTGCTTATTAGAATATTATTAAAGCCAGAGGTACAAAATTTCCAGGAATTTGCCTCTTTCCGTTTTGATAAAAAAATGCATAGAGGATAGATTTTTTTTTTTAATTAATTGCACCCTGAAGAAAAATTCTTAAATATACTTACTTGTTTTCATTCGACATTTTTTTTTTGCTATCAAAACATAAATGAATAAATAAAGATAAAAAACTTGTCTATTTGATTTTGCAGATTCACTGATCGTTCATTGTTCCCACAAGATGAGGAAATTGGTGCTGGCGCAGCATATATTGAAGTAGATGCAATGGATTCAATGGAAGTAGTTTGTCCAACATATAACATGCATGATAATACCAATAACTATGAGCAGCTCATTGTTCATCAGGTAATAGTCTAACAAGCTATTTTCGTGCATTCAACTTTTCCTATTATTTAACTGTGAAGAAACCCCAAGTTAGTATTCAATATATTGAACTTTTTCATGAACATAACACTATTTGCTAGGTATCTGACTTGTCATTTATGAGCTGTGAATTGGACAGTCGTTCGCAGGCATTTCTTATCTGCGATTCACCTTTAGCAACGACATCTACCAGTCATGTAATTGTATTTCACCAATTTTCTCCTTTACCAAATGGCTTCGAATACCAGCCGGGCCGATCATATTATTTGATTAGTTAGTTTCTTTGCAGTTTCACAGAATTTATTGAATCTCAACTTAAAAATGTATTATGCAAAAAAAAACATTTCACTTTTTAACTATGATATTTCACAATATTTTATTGTTCCTACCATTATTTGTAGAGATCAAAATTTTAGCAACATCAAATGGATCTGCAGAAGGCATAAATAACACTCGGTTGGGACTTTGTGTTACTGCAAATATGAGGTTGCGTATTGATGTTCGACCTTTGAGTGACAATTCTTACTTAAATTCTGAAGAAGGTACTTAAGTTCTGAAGAAGTTAAATATGCTTTCGTTTCTGAGAAGACAGTGAGAAATTTCCCACATATGAGCAAATGCCACAATAAATTAAAGTTTAAAGTAAAATCTTAAAAATGATTTAAAGCCTAAATTGAAATGTAAGGAATGGATACGAAGTCTACAGCACTAGAGTCATCGGAAGCAGAAAGAACTGAAAAAGAAGAATGGTCTAGAAGTCGTCGTGTGAAGCCACCTATAAGTGACAGTGTAAAAATGGGACAAGTAAGTCACCATCCTTATCTTTGGTCATTACATCAGTAAGCAGTAATTCTTACTGCAAAATTTAGGGTTGTGGGAAATGCTATCAATAAAATAATATGCTGAAGATGATAAGAATAATAAAAGTTTTTAATCCCTCCAATTTTAATTTAATTGGTATAAGTGAAGTATGTTTCCAGGATATCGACAGACTAAACAATGAATCACAGAAGTTCGCTAAAAAACACGGTCTTGATTTGACACGATTAGAGTATGTCAGACAGTTAGCGATGGATGGAGTTGAGGGCGATTTCTTGTTTCGGGAACTTGAAAATGATTCTGTGGTTAGCGGCTTGTAAAGTCAAATGCTGGAAAAGTTGATAATTTTTCAATATTTTCGTAGTAATTCTGATGATTCCGGCAAAGGAATGAAATTCAAATTTTGTAGAAAACTTCGCTGGACTCATCGGAGACAACTCTTGACAGTGGTTCAGGGCGGCCAAGTTCTTCAAGTACACTTGCTGACCGTGGTGAAGTGCCTCATTCGACGAGTAGGCAAGCACAGCGATGGATTTCGAAGGAAATACAAAGCAGATTCAATGCTTCATGGGATATTTTTCCCGATCAGAATAGAAGTGGCATGGAATCTGCGGACTATGTCGTAGATGACATGTCGTCCGGTAAGTTTGCAACTTCATATCAAGTGCTTCAAGATTTTTAGAACTTAAAAAGTTTTAGGTTGTAATTCGTTTATCGTTCTTCCAACAGTATGCTTGTCCTTAGAAGATATTGAGGCTGCATTATCTTCATAAGATAATAATGTATTTCTAGGTGGAGCGGCCATATTTGAGCGACTTGAAGCTAAATATGTAATTATCATTGCACTATTATTGTGCAATTCAGGAAGATGACATAAATTATTCCTATGTTTATATTTGGTATGCACATGCTGGACTCATGCATTTGTATTTAGTGATAATATGAGGTTTCGACTCCGCCAAGTTGGATGGGTGGTATGTGTCAGAATTCTTTTTCCCAAAATGCTACATTATTTACAGCATTCACACAATTATCAATTGATTCAACAATCAAAGAATATATTAGAAAAATTGCACAAATTTCAGTTGCTGTAACTGAAATTTGTAACCATGAAAAACATGAGTTAAAAAAAAAGGAGGAATATTGTGATGAGGTTTAGTCGAAGTTAAAGATTAGTGTGTGCTGCATCTGTGATGGTCTCAGGATTTACTATACTAATACTTCTAAAACAAATAAAGCTTAGTGCTTTACTTTTCAATTTTCGAGATCCATACTTCATGTAATCAATATCCGGTGTGTTTTGATATTTATTTTGTATTTTCCGACCTGAGCTACCTTCGCATTTCAGTAACATTTTAAAGCACGTAAGGTCGGAAAATATCAAAGTGATTGTCTGTTTGTCAATTTTGAATTTATAATGTAACAAAATTGGCTTTTTATTCCAACGGGTTGTTTTCTATGGTGATTGTTCTTTGTTTCAAAATATTCCTCAAATTTTCTATTAACTTCCCTGATCGTGAATCCAATAAATTCAGCTCAACACTTTCGTCATTTTTTGAAAATGTTTCTCTAAAAGGTTATTCTACTACTGAATGAAATTGAATCTTGACTGAAAGATCATGTAAAAAATATAACCATTTATTCCAGAGTTTAATTTCCAGAATGAATTTCTTTTTAAAAAAGTGTTGTTAGCAATGTTGCTTGTTATTGGAATTTACCTGTTAATCGTGCTACTCAATTTAAACTTCCGATTTGTATGCGGAGAAGGAGGTAAGTGCAGTTTGAGGAAATAACCCACTCCAAACATAATATGGAAGATTGTAGGGCTAACAAACATGAATGAAATACATTTATAGCTTGCAGCACAAAAAGCAATTAGGTCATAATACTGTTTTTAACTCCCCTTTTATCAACTTTGTGAACTTTCTTTCTTGATATGCTGTCTATGTTTTTATCAAAATGAACTTTCTTTCTGATGTCTACGTTCTTAGCATATGACCAGTACGTTGTTTCGCAATATTTCTCAGCGAATGCTGATGACTCCTTGTCTGCAATTATTTTAGAGAAGTCATTCACAGAGAATAATTCTAAACAATATTTTCCACCAGTACTTGTCCTGGTGGAAAATATATCGCAAAAATCACATAGTATACAATCATAAAAAATACTTATCTAAGCTTCCGTCTAACCTACCTTGCTCTTCTTCTGTACTCTTTTGACACGCAATGGACGACTTTTGAAGATCGATCCATCAAGCTGTAGTGCAAGTGGTATGGCTGCATTCTCCTTGAATGCCACAAAAGCAAAACCTTTACTATTATCAGTCTTCGGGTCCCGAACTATTCTCACGAAAGAAACATTTTTAGACTGAAATCCTTTCATAATAGACGGGACAACGATGAAAAGTAAACCAGTCAAGATATGAATAAAAGACTGTGATTGCTAGAAACTAAACCATTCAAAATGACCTAATCTATTTTGGTGTAAAAACAAAACCGTTTCAAAATGTGCAATGAGCTCGTTTTCGGACATATCATAAGGTAGATTACCGACAAAAATGTTGTTCGGCAACTGTATTTTTTTCTTTTGCGCAAGAACTATCTACTCTTAACATATTTCCGTCATATTTCTCGCCATTCCTAGTAAAATAACCATTAATTCATCGATGAATCTACTATCATCCAAATGACTGCACCAACAAAAAATTTTAGCCAACATTCAAAATGAAGTTCACTCACAACGCCAAAGCTGCTTCTATCGATTTCGCACCTTTAAATATGATATGAAAGGTTAGCGACCGCACGCCACTCGGAATGTCGCGCTTTAAATGTAGTATTCTTACACCACATGTATGGTCGTAAAAATAAAATGATTAGCAAAATGAAAATACTTCAGATTTTCTGGAAATGCTTTTTTTTACTTCTTCTCTTCTTTCTTTTTTTTTTTTTAAACTAAAAATCCCTTTTACTTTTTCTGGAAATTTTCCCTTTTGAAATTAAGTATAACCTTTTTCGTATTTTTTTTATTAGAAGCAGCGAAACAACGAAGGCGTACACTCTCTACAGTACCGAACTGCGAAAACAATTTTTTGATTCCTCTCCTAGTGCTTGACAATGGCGCATTTCCAACAAATATAGTTCTAGTTTTTTCTTCCGCTATTGTTTCTCCCTTTTGACTTTTCATCTCACTTAAAATACATATAAAAATCTCTTCATGGTCTTTATCGTTCCAAAAATTTTTGAACATAAATAAACAATATAAGCTAAGATAATAAATCCCACTAAAAACTTGACTCCCGACGTACACTTTCTGATGTGAGACAATCAGTTCCATTGAATCCTGCTGACTTCGGCTGCAACTTCTTTTTACCAGTGGACAATTCAAAACGCTGTAAATAATTAGAAAAGTGAAGAAGTAAAGGACAAATTAGAAGTAAGGAATAAAGTAAAGTAAGACTAAGAGTTTCATGATTTGCAAAAAATATTTCCATTCGCTTTTTTACATTACTATCTTCGAGCAGTGACACCTCAGATTCTGAAACGTAATAGGCTTACGTGAGATTTAGTGACAGATTCCTTGAACAAAACCACTGACTCATCATTCCTTGATTCAGTTCCTTTCTTTCGTTTCCGCTTTTTAGTGTCAACCGCTCTTATCCCCTCTCATACAAGAAAAGCCGATACTGCTCCAGGGAAATAATCCATTTCCAAAATAAATTTTGTAAGTGGAAACATGCAACATGATTTACACTTGGAAATTTGTTAGGTTAATATAAACAGCTTGTGGAACGACCTGGCTTTTCTTATAAATTTTATTCATAACAACTAAATAAGCTAAGTCACTCTAACGGAGCGCTGAATGCATTTTAATTGATTAATTGTAGCAAATCACCAAACGATCCCGTAAGTCAATCAATGACTAACTCTCTGACGTAAAACAGGTAACAGAATAAAAAAAAAATCCCTAATAACTGCTTAGCATCATTCCGTACACTTCGTAAATAGAGACACTCAACAAGTAATTTGCAACTCACAACTCAAAACAGTTATTCTCAGTACGCAATATCTTCAAAATATTTATTAAATATAATTTTTTTTAAAGTGAGAAAAACAATGCAACAGAATACCTACTTCCTTTCAATTCATTTTTTCCTGTTTACATATTGTTCTTAAAATTAGCTACAGTGAATGGTAAGGTCTGATATCTTTTTGCAAATTAGCAACGTTATATACAAAAGGATGAATTTCCACAAGAAACTGATTTTTACAAAATACTATAGTCATAGTCTTTCAAAAGGAGTAAAAAAGCATGATTATGTCGAAACAATCGAATATTGATGAATATGAAACCTGAGGGCAAACGAAAGTCAGTGAAAGATAGAACTGACTGAAATACCATTGGAAGGATAAAAATGAATTCAACTGAGATCTCACAGCATAAACTACAAAGCAATGAAGAATAATTTAACTGAAGCCTGCTTTGAGCAAATATCATTAAATTAAGGAAAACACTAGTCCAAAAAGGTCAGAACATAGATAAAGTCCCTACCAGTAAACCTTTAATGCACAATAAAAGCTTCTAAATGGCATAAACAATGCAATCTGAAATGTCAGCATGAGCAAGACAAAAGAAATTGTATCATGCGGCTTTTAAAATGGACTTTAGACAGCTCAAAAAAAAAAAAAAAACACGAATTATCTAAAATTTTATGGAGATTTTTTTAAACAAATTTGTTAATTAATACAAATATTAATAAGTCACATTTATAGATCAGAGCCACTATGATCATGCTGGCTCAAACGTTTATAACGAAGAGTTGTTCGTCTTGCACTGTTTGAAGATCTACGTCCTTCAATAATGAAACCTAAAAATACAGCGTCCACAAGGTCAAAAAAGGCTACAAATCAAGCAAATACCTATCGAAACATTATCTTAAGGTGACTAATATTTTGTGAATTGTTTCGAAAGGAAATGCAACGTTTTCTAATAAAGACATAAAGAAGAAACTTACCAAGAATCTTGTTTTTGTTGTGTGATGCAAAGTATACGCAAACAATAATAGCACAAAATACAGCAATGTAATAAAGAAAATGAGTGTCTTCTGCTTCATCAAACTCATCAAATGCGTTAAATGCCTAAATTGTAGCAAAACCACTTAAAAGAACAGCAACTATCAAAAACAGAAAATGGCAATGTAGAACACAGTCGAATAGAAATATAGAAACTCTTGCTATCAGTATTTAAGTTAATTTGATGCTGAAATTTGAAATGACTTAAATCACCGTTTTTACTTCCATTTTGTTTCTTGGTAAAACACTGAGGTTTTCTTCTTTTTTGAAGTCTTCATTGATTCGACTACTACTGTTCTATAAGAGAATATTATACATATTCTTTGCTATTCCTCAGCAATTGTGGCCATGGAAACATTAATTTAAAAAATTAGTATTAACTTGGAGTCGCGACAAACGAGCTGCAAACTCAATTGAGGTTTGTATGCCATGGCGTTCTTGTTTCAGCTGTTGTCGAACGGTTGAGGTAAGAATAACTTGTCGCGCTAATGCTTGTGCAGGTACCACCTGCGCTATCCATGTTACTGCTATTGATGATGCAACACGCTGCAATGGTGCTTGTGATGTTACAGCCATATTGTTCGTATTCTGAGCAAAAGAAACCTACTTAATGCTTGAAAAATTAGAAATGAATTTTTTAATAAAACTCAAAATAAAACTGATATTGTTCCTGATTGAAAAAATGTTTGTGGAGAATAATTTTCACATTTTCAGTAGTAGTTGCAATCCATGTAACGACTGCTTCAGCCACTCTGTTCTTTTGGATCACTGGACCAAGCAGTTTGGTATCTAAAAAATATTATTACGTAAATGTATATACAAAAAAAAAAAAAATCGTGAAAACCATTACATAGTTGAAAATTTTACATGGAAAATGATTGTCTCACCATTAATTTCTTTTAAACTATCATCGCCACTTGTAAACAGCCAATCACACACAAAAGAGAACAACAACAACAAAAAAAACCACTGGAATCCCATTACAAAGCCTTTCCACCTATTTACTTGTTCGATACACTCTACAAAATCAATCTTCCGTTGTTTGAGGATTATTTCGTTTATGTTCATAAATCTGCAATATATACAAAAACATTTGGCTTACGGTACAGTAGTACAAGGCCATTTTTGGAAACTCATAGTACTTTAATTTAACACAGCCGAAGAGAGAATATATGTCTAATGCAGTAACAGGAAAATCGGATAATATCCTCAAACCATCTTAAACTTCCAAAAATGTCATTTTAAAAATAAAATTGTATTCAAACCAGTATAAAACAGTACGATTACCAAGTGTACACTACACACCCAGTCTCTTCTATACAATGCTTCACTTATCATTCCTACCAATCTTCTCATTCTTATCCTCAACCACTGCTAATAATATTTCTTTGTTTCCCTACGACAGGAAACTCAAGAATGTTAACAATCTGATTAGCTACGCTTGAACTCGATTACCGTCCACCCTTATCACCTGAAACCTCACCTCTCCCTTTACAGTTGCAAACCTTCACCACTACTGTTTGTTTCATTCTCGTTGCATGCAAAGATAATGCTATCAGTTGATTGGGATGTAACTACTCGGCAACTTTGTTTAAAGCGATACTGTTAATGAGAGGATATTTTTGTGTTATAGTTTTTATTTTGCTTTTGCTCCCTTTGCAATTTCAAGATTTAGCGAGTTAAATGACATTATATAATTTTAAAATTTCTCAAATTTCCTGACTTTTTTTAGATCTTTTAAACCTTGCTGCTTCAAACTTCGTGTGGGGCAAAAACCGTGATGCTTTCTCGTCAGTGGTATACGGTTTCTGTAAGTTACTCTTTTCATTCTATAAGAAATGATACAAATGCAGGAAACCTATTTATACAGTTTGCTCTTTAACACTAATACAAATCAATTAGTGTAATGCCAAAAGGAAAAATCAAGATTCAGGTCTTTAACTATCAAATTTACCATCCATTCTAATGTCAGTCTTTGAGCTGAATCTGATTATTAGTCATTTTGAGACTTTAATTCATATTTGCATTATGATTTCAGAAACGATTTTCATCTATTAGTGTATCTGCTCGAAACGCTATCAGTGTCGCAGAAGAGAAGGTACATTTGTTTTCAATGCAATAATGTGAATGACTAAGTTGACATGTATTAGTGGACTTATTTAAGATATCGCGCTTGCCAAATGGATTGACAGTTGCTTCTGTGGATCTTGGTGGCCCAGTCAGTCAGTTAGTAGTAGCTTATCGAGCTGGAACTCGATATGAAATGCCTAGTGAGGCAGGTTTGGTTCATCATATTAGGAATTGCATTGGAGGTGATTCTCAAAGGTATTATGGTGCACAGTTGCTTTGGCAGTGCGGTTCCGCTGGTGCTACCGTGGTGAGTTTGAGAAATATTGAATAAAAGTTCTTGTTTTCACACCCATCTACATCCATGTTCAGGTGAAGAAATGACATTATTTATAATGAAATCTACACATAATCTGTTTTATTAATTCTTACATGGAATTTGCAGAAATCTAACATTATTTCAGAATGGAATGATGACACGCGATTTGCTTGCAGTGCAAATGTCAGTGATTAGAGATCGCGCACCAGTAGGATTATCTTTATTAGGAGAATTGGCTCAACCAGCATTTAAACCATGGGACGTTGAACACTGTAATGCGACATTAAGGATTGATCGTAATTATCTTAAGGCGTACGATTTGCTTCTGGAGGATTTACATGACGTAATATTTTGGTTATCGATTTTATTGGTGTTGTATTCTTTATTAAAATCTGGTCGGAAAAATCTTTAATGTTTTATGTTATGCAGTTATAAATAAAATGATATTTATTGGTTTTTAGGCAGCATTTCGAAGTGGTTCTCTTGGAAATTATTTATACGCAAAAGAGGAAACTGTTGGCAAATTCAGTCATTGCAAAATGGAGAAATTTGCAGTATGTTTTTTGCATACTCAGCGGAACGCCTTCTTGCATGAGACTGATCATTTGCTGTATTTTGTGAAAATTCGCTGATGTTAGGGTTTTATTCTCGATACTTTTTTCAGGCTTCACAAATGGTGACTGGTAACGCTGTACTTGTGGGAGTGAACATTCCACATGACCAAATATTAGATTATGCGAGCAGTCAATTCACCTTGCCTGAAGGAAGTTCAATTTTACCAAAACCGTCTCCATATTGTGGTGGAGAGAAACGTCACAAAAATTTAATGAAGGAAGCTCATGTTGCGATTGCTGGCAGAGGAGCTTCTTTGAAAAGTCGCAAGGTAATCATTTAGGAGGCATCAACTTCACTATACTTTTTCTTTATTATTTAAGAGTAACTCGAACTACTAACAACACTCAAAACATAATCGAGTTATGCATTTTATCTCTGTGTATTTGTATTTTGTATGGCTTCATATGCATGTCTTCATTGGGGGATTCTGGAATCAAATGCATTCAGAATCATGAATTTCAGAGTTTAGCCGTACAAGCAATTTTGAGTGCTGCTATTGGTCAAGGTGCTGTAACAAAGTATGCTGCAGGTGTTGGACAGGGTGCATTAGCAAAAGCAGCCTTTGTAGGTTACACATACAGATTTTCTCAAAATTTGTTTCCTGTATCCATTTGTGTTTTTGCTTAAGAATACCAGGAATTGGTGATCAATATTATCACTGTTTGTATCAGTTGAAGAGACACAAAATCCATGATTTTTTCAGAAGGCCTCATGCGGGTATCCGTTCGGCATGTCGGCCATATCAGAAGTATATGCAGATCAAGGACTGGCTGGTATTTATATCGTTTCCGAAGCAGATCACATCGGCCGTCTTTGTGATGCAGCAATAAAAGCCTTAAAATCATTCACAATCGATGATTCTGCATTCCAAGCCTCGAAGTTAATGTTCTTCCTTTTCTTTTGCTATTTCTGCTCGCTTCTCAGTATATTTTACATTTTCATGATGGAGTTTCTTCTACAGCAATGAATTTTTTCCTTAACGTTTGATAATTGATTTAGGAATATGGCTGCAATGAACATTCTAAACCGAGCCGAATCAGCTGAAAACATGGCAGTAGATCGCGCTGCACAGATTCTTGCAACTGGTGAAGCAGAGACTGTCTCGGATTTATTACGAGAAGTAGCTTCCATCACTATGGCCGACATTACAAAGGTTGGCATAAAGCAGAATTTTAGCTATGCATTGCTTGTGATAAAATTTTTGTTAAGAAATTAAAAAAAAATACTGACTTCGAAATTTCCTTTTACTATTTTTTGCGAAAATCAATATAAATCAATATAATATATCAATATGTTGTTTCTATCGCTTCTAGTTTATCAACTTTGTCAAATAAACGCTTATTTTTTTTACTACAGGCAGCAGATCAAATGAAATCGAAATTAACGCTTGCTTCTTATGGAAATATTTATCAAGTACCCTACCTCGACCAACTGTAAAAAGCAACATAAATTTTGTAAAGTAAATGCGACACTGTTCAATATAGTATATCAATATAATGTGGTATATGAAAAATAGCGGAATTTAAGCCGTAAACTTAGTGTTCTTTGATGTAATTCATAATGTTATTGGCTTTTGAAATGTGCAAAACAGTGTTTTCGAATTTCTATCTTTTTTGCCTTTCTCTTGTTTCTTTTTTTTTTGATTTTTTTTTTTCGCTGTATTTATTTTACGCTCTCTAGTTAGGTTATTTCGGGCGGGTACTGAAATATTGAAGTAATTTTATTTAATCCATTTCAAGATTGTTTTAAATTTTGACTCTTCCAGTTTTAGACCACATCCTGCTTAAGTTACTTTTTTCTTTTTGTATATGTGAAAAATGTAAACGATTATAAATAGTATTTTTTTTATCGTTTTGATTTTAGTTCTTTTGTGTGTCTCAGCTCCTAGGGGAAATCAGCTATTTATTCTTGTTTTTGGATATCGCGTAGATGAATTTAGTGTGAGTTATGAAGGCTGCTTTAGAGTACCAATACGTCATACATTAATAATGCGTATTGGACGATCCAGTTTCATGAGTACTGTTTAGCAGAGTAATCCAATAGAAATAATAAACATTTAGGTGTACACTTTTGACTAATTGTCGAATTTTCATTTTCTTTTCGTAATACATTACAGAAAGATCCTTAGAAAAGTGTGTACGACATAATGAGTATCAAGAGGTTTATAGGATGATTATGAAGTTAAGTATGCCTTAAAGATAATACTTGAGGTATTGTAAGAAGATGTAAACAGTGGGAAAAGAAGGTGGTTTGATAAAGCCAGGATTCAACAAGAGTTCACTTATATTCTCTAGTTGTTGTAGGTATTGTTCCTTTCCAGAAATTAATATGGAATTGGTAATAACAAAGAGACTTTATTGCCAATGAACTCCAGAAAAAATAATAGCCTTCTGAAAAATCTGGGTTTGAAGTAATAAGTAAGGAAGTGGGAAACTAGTTCATCTAGTGGTTCTAATTAGAAGAATTGTCCATACCGCAATTTCAAAAACGAATTATCTATATTTGAGACTGGGATCTTCGCGAATCTTCTGCTACACAAATGTTTGGTTGCCAACAATGAAAGCGAAGGAGTTTAAACAGCCAGCAGTAGTGATGGATACTGTTATGTGGAAAGTTTTTGTTCTCATAATTAACATTGATGCCATACAATGGATACAAGGGAAAAGTTATTTGGTAGGCAATGTATACTTCTGATAATAATTGTAATGAGGATTTCTTCGAAAGAGAAGAAATTAGCATATAATTTTTAGAAGTAGAGCATATTCTTCCTCATTTTTATTTATTATTTAGAGAACTTTTCCTTGCAGTTTTTACTGGTGTTTTAAGTTCTAAATTTCCGGTAACATCATTATGTTTAATATTTGATCAAATTATTGCATTGTTTTCTGTAATTTAGTAAATATATAGATTAAACATTTCAGCCAACTTGGGATTCAATTGATTCGAGACCAGTGCCACAATGGTATCAAAATGCCAAACTTGGTATATTTTGTCACTGGGGAGTTTATTCAGTACCAGCAATTCAGTAAGTGATTATATGACTTTCATTAATTTACAAGTATTTCTTATATTGTTGAATACAGTGTTTAATGAAAGCATGAGGATGCTTCCAGTTCGGAATGGATGTGGTACGCTTGGAAAGTATCAAATAGTTCAGATGTTATCCAGTATGTAAGCAAATATTACAAACCCAGTGTCACTTATGCCGATTTTGCTCAAGATGTACGTTTAATTTGAGTACTCCTAATGCAACCTGATTAATGAGTTGAAATGTTCGGGAACATTTCATATATTTCTGTTTTTAAGGAAGGTTATTGGAAATATACATTTATAAAATCATTTCTTTTTTTCACTTTCCTGGTATACTGGAGGATTTGGAAATTTTACAGAAGGTAAACAGAAAATTCGCAAATTTTCAGTTCACAGCGGAACACTTCAATGCTTCTATATTTCGAGATATCGTAGAAGCATCCAGTGCAAGGTTAATTTTTTCTCTATCAACATAACTTTTACCAATCTGACATGCTGCAAATTGTATTGCAGTTCCACTATATAAAAAACGGTTAGTTTGAAGATATTTTGTGTTCACAAGCAAGCATCATGAAGGCTTTACAATGTGGCCAAGTACAACTTCCTGGAATTGGAACTCAGTCGATGTTGGCCCACATCGAGATATCGTCGGTATGGTATCTGCTTATTTAATTTTTAAGTGTTTCCTTAGGATGTCTTAGTTTGAATCCTTTTTTGTTGAAAGTTACAACTATTTAATTTTGTATTTTTTTTATATTGATTAGAATATGTAAAAATGGATTACCCTTTTTTTTTTGATTTGTGTCTTTTCAATTCTTCTTATTACGACTATGTTTACTAGCTAAATGACATTGTGTAATTTTTGCTTCTTACGTTTACCTACAGGTGAATTAAAGAATGCATTCATAGAATCCAAAGTTCATTTCGGTCTTTATTTTTCTCAATATGAATGGTTTAATCGCTATTACATTAATGATCGCAAATACAACACTGATAATTATGTAAAGGCTAGTTGTTTTTGTTTTACATTTATAACAGTATAAGAAATCAGTAGAAACTTCTTGGTAATCATCTAATTGAAAAACACAGTTATAGTATGTGTCGTATCCACAAATGTTGGAAATAGTGAGAAAGTATGAGCCTGAAATAATTTGGAGTGATGGAGATTGGGAAATGAGTGATGATTACTGGAAGTCAAAAGAATTTATTGCGTGGCTTTACAATTCAAGGTTAATGATTTATTGATGAAGACAAGTGCTTTTCATTAGCAAAGTGTAGCAATTATACGTTTTTCTTTTTTCTTTTTTTCTGTTCAATTAAATAAAATGGAGATCACCTATGATCTCAAAATGAGCTTTTTGTCTTCCTCTATCATTGTTAATTAAAATTATGGTTTTTAGTCCAGTAAGAAATACAGTAGTTGTGAATGATCGATGGGGAAAAGGCATATCCGGTAAACATGGAGGTTTCTTAACGTATTCAGATCATTTTGATCCAGGTTTCTTTCTTTCAGAGCTGCTGATGTAACGAAGTACAGTAAATTTTTATAGAAGTTATATGCTTAAAGATTTATATTCACAAATCTAATTGTAAATTTTGAGATAGAATTATTCCAGGAGAAAGGTAGACTTGTTGCAGGTTATTTGTTAAGACGGAAATGGGAAAATTGTCTTACACTTGATAAGGAATCATGGGGATATCGGCGGAATATGCGAGTAAGTTATGTTATTAGCAAAATTTAGTGATATTAATTATTAATATTTAGGACTTATCTTTGTTCAGCAAAATGACGAAAATTATTGCTGTAGAGAATATATATACATTTCTCACGAGAATATACATTTGGCTAATCAAAAATATATGATTTAGTAAGATAAAAGGAAAAATGGGAAATAAGAAAGATAAAAAATCTTGGAAGAGTGTCCTCAAACTTTGTAATAACGGTGGAGCTTTGCTGAAGAAATTGTAGGAAACTCTCAACATTTAATAAATTTAGAGTGAAGACGTAAATACGGTGTTATACCTCATTAGTCAGCTAGTGAGGACTATTGCTTGCAATGGAAACTTGCTGTTAAATGTTGGTCCAGATAAATCTGGGATGATAGCGCCTATTTTTGAGGATCGACTGCGTGAGCTTGGTAAATGGGTAAAACGAAATCAGGAAGCCATTTTTAACACTTACCCATGGATGTATCAGAATGATTCTCTCTATATTTGGTAAGCATTTATAAGGCTTACAATTCTATAGGAGTGCTATATTGATGTTCAGTGACTGATCATTAATTTCTAAAGGTATACAATAAGTTCACCAAGAGTGAGACGTGATGCAGTTTGGGTATCGCATACGGAACATTCTAAACTTTACGCATTTTTCCTTCAATTTCCGATCAATGATACCGTTACATTGTCCTCTGTACATTATACGCCAACGGTTAGTTGCGCATCATTATTCGAGTGGCAATTGTTTTATAATTTTCTAGAATAAGCATCGTGAAAAATACAGTAGCAGAAATATTCCAACCCTTTTACAGTTTTCTGGAAATTTAATTAATCAAACAGTTTATTTACAAAAAATATTTTAGTTGACGGCGGAAGTGCTTCTCGATTTTAATAAGACTGAATTCCTTGAAGTGTACGGTATTCCTGGACATTCGGTAATAATAAGTTTCAAGAAACACCAAAGACTTGCTACGTTTAGCCCAATCGTTGTTAGGATCAAGCATTTTAATGCTACTTATGTAAGTTTGGATATATTTTAGCATAGTACTTAATATAGAGATGGGGTACTGGTGAATTTATTTCGGATTTATTAAAATGTAGGTATAAGAAAGTGCATTTATCACGTCACATGTATTCCTTTCCTTATGTCCAACTATGAACTTTTATATAATTGGAATTTGCAGCATGATCCACTACAGAATGACTTATTCAAATACTGAAAGCGAAAAGAAGTCCATCATAGAATCAGGAATTGTACCAAATGATTGCAGGAAAAAAATGATTTCATTTCCAAACATTTTGGTTATCAATTTAAAGTTGCAGTTTGTAAATGCTTCTTTTTTGATTTTACTATTTGCAATATAAACAGATGAAAGAAAATCGATTCATAAAATCTGGAATGGATGCTGAAGATACATTAACATAGGTTTATGAAAATAAATTGAGGAATTATGACATGCAGAAGATACAATATGTGGGATGCATTGAGTATTATATAAATTCAAATCTTTTAATTTTTTTAATTCAATTAAATCTTCAAGAAGTGGACATAGTTGACTGTGAAAATGAGGTAACTTCCATCGTCCATTCTGGTTTCTTTATCTTCCCATACTGTAATGAGCATTTAGCAAGTCAAATAATATCAAAAATCATTGAACAAAAAAATGAGACCATTGTTGCATCATTAAATTTTATGAAAGCAAATAAATTAAATAAGCAGCGTTTTTCCGAATAAGGAAGTAATAACCTGTATGTCAACCATTGTTTGGTAAAGTTTTTGCATAAGGTTGGGCTTGTGGGTTATCGTTGGTATAATCATTTCCTCGAAATCTCCTGTACAGGGATTTTTATATAAAATTCGATCTACTGGAGAAACAACACATGCTGTACCGGTGCCAAACATTTCGTACATCTGCAATGTTATTTTCCTTTTTTTCACTTTCATGTCTCAAGGATTTGAAATTTTGAAGTCGAAATATACTTATTTTTGTTTTGCCAAAGCATCTTTAGGTAACCGAACAAATTAAGTGTAAAGAAATTTAAGTTCTGACTTTTGGAATCTCAGTCAATTTTCTTCTTTAGTTGGGAAATATGCGGCGCATAAACAAACAAAAGGTATTTTTCCTTCTGTCTTTTGTAAAAGAAGCCGAGCCTACCCTTTCCTCTTTGATGGCTCGTCGTATTTCTCCAATTTGAACATAACGTTCGGTAACTTTAATATCATGCATCTGTCTTCCCAAATGCAAAATGCTATCTCTGGTAACACCTGGTAATATTATCCCATCGTATAGTGGTGCTGTTACTAATTCGTCATCTAAAAATTTTTGATTTGAGGTGAAAAGAAAGAACACCAAGAAAATTTTGAGTTCCAAAGTTTTACATAGATTTAGAATACATTTTTAAATTCATTGAGAAGGAGCATATAACCTCCTTGTTCATTTTTCCAATAGATGAAGATGTTCATTGCTCCTACTTCTGTGATCCACTGTTCTTCACCATATAACCACAGTACCTGTTGACAATTTTTCGAAGCCGCTGTTTTACTGACTAGTATCGTTGGCGCATAATTACTAAAATGTTTAGGAGAAAAATGTTCCTTTAAGGCAAGAACTGTCAAAGTTTTTACTAGAAAATGCTATTTAATTCGTTTGCAGTGGTTTTCAACAGGATAAACAATAGCAAATAGACAACCACAATTATAGTCCTAAAATCAGTGCCTTACCAGCCCATTTTATATTGCCCAACACCACCAAGAAATGATCGGCAGAAGGATGGATCAGCATACAATGAAACAGGCTTGAATCCAGTCGAGTAGTATTGTCCAACTGGACCAGTTAATACGAAAAGTAAAGCTTGCTCTGCATGTGATAAACCAAGAGTTGGCTTAAAAACATTTTTCAGAATGAACTGATCTCTTCTTTATTGAAAATTAAATTAATAGCGATCATTCTCAATGACTACTCCATCTATTATTATCAATAATAAAACAACACGAAACCTCAGTAGCGATAATCGTTGGACGAATGTAAAGTGAACCGGGTGACTTAGGTACCCAAGCTGCATCGATAGTTACTAGTTCACAAATAAGTTTTTTTAACTCATTTTTGTCGAATGTCTGAAAATATTTCCACTTTTATTTCTCAGAGAAAGATTTCAAAAAAAAAAAAATAAAATAAAAATTTTTATATTGGATTTGAAAATTTTTCTTGTTCCCCATGTAAAAGCGATCTCGCATATTTTAATTTACTGAAGATTGCAATCTTTTGATTTCCTTTGGGATATCACTTCAAATACTGCTACCGACCTAGTTTGAAATAATGGAGTTTTGTGGTAAAAAATTAATTGTTCGAAGCTGCACTATTTGCGAGAATGCTTTTTGCAAGCACGGTTTAATTAAATTTCTTCAGTAACATCAATAATTTTCAGAGAGGCGCTATATTTGATTTTTATCTCAGCAATTCTCTTTTTTAAAAGAAATTAAAAATTTATGTTACTCTTGAACTTAACTCTAAAAAAAACTTTTTCTAAGCTTAACAAGCTGTAGAGCTTGAGAAAAGAAAAGTGCAAATAAAAGACCGGCAGAGCAGCTCGAGCTGCGGAACGGCACATACGCTCCATGTTTTTTTCCGGACGGAACAAATTAATTTTATCGTCATCACATCTATATGCTTTCATACCTTCGAACAATTCAACTGCATAGTGAAAAACCTAGAAAAAGGTGAAGTTGTATCTTCTCTCCACTACTATTATTTCTTGAACTTCATATCTTTCATTTGTTTCTTCTGAATTTTTCACTGGAAAACAACTCAGAAACGAACTTCACATTACAGAATTACTAATACCCAGAATCCGTAATTGCAACTGTCACATCGAAAATGCTAACCTTTGCAGCGGGATGCACTACTAAGTCATGAATTGGACATATTAGAGGTCGAGACCAACCTTTCTTTGCTGTCCATTCTATCTACAATTGTTATTTAAAGACATACAAATATTTTAATTCCCCTCAAATTGATATAGTTATGCTGCATCATTAGAAATGAGATTTAAAACTTTTCCTAATAAAATTAGTCCTGAAATGTACCTCAAGCATATGATCTGAAAATTGATGACCAAATAGCAGTTCACTTCCCGGTTCTGGTTTCTGCTGCATTCGCTCCCGTCTTACTTTGATAACTTCCAAATCACGGTGCTAAACTGTTTCAGCTGGTTGCATTCGCCGATGAAGAAATATTCCCTGTTCATGAACTTAAGTTGCTATTTTCTTAATTAACAAGTTAAACGATGCATACCTTAAAGGAGAACACAGCAGGTGTAGTAGCAATTGCGTGCAGACAGCACCCGGCTAGTTTCGAAGGTAGTAACAACGGTCTACCACATCGAATTAATCGAGTTAAGACGTCCGATGAGGCTAGATTTATCAAATACTTCATGGTTGGCTAGACAGCAGCTTCTGAAATTCTCGCATCAATTTGTCTAAAAATTACTTGAAACAAAATTTGGTTACGAAAAACTAATGTAAGGATAAAGAATTAGGGAGAGAAGGAAAGCGAGGGAGAGGGAGACCTATTAAATTTACTTAACCCTTAAAGCTGATGAACATTACTATAGAAGATTTAAAAATATGATCTGGTAAATATGATCTCCCTTAAAATGTCACATCCAAAACCATGCACGGACTAGTAAAATATACATTTGTACATGAGGAAAAGAAAAATGCACTACTAAATAAAGAAAAATAACCCAATTTTAATGGTCACAAAGCAATCATTTTGCCAAAAGATTTCCGAATTCCGAATTTTTTAGATATCAATTTGAATAAATTTTTACTAGTTATATAGTACAGCTCAAGCATCAGTTAACTATGAATAAATTATCAAACATTACGTTATGTCATTCTACAACATGCAGGAATTTCAAAATTGTTTTATATGAAGCGAAGAGGTGCTCTGTTGGATTCAAAAATATAATCTGATCAATAGTCTTTATTGATAATATTATAGGGGATAGCGCGCCCAATATAATATTGTTGAGCATATATTAAATCCTGCATAACTTTTAATTATATAAAACGGTCTTATCTACAATTCCCTAAACAAGTACAGACTTGAATTTAAGACCGATTTTGCTATAAAGGAGTTTGTAATGTGCCATTTTACTTTTCGAAGTCCAGTTTTACATTTTCAAATCATAGAAATCTTGTCATGAGGATACTCTTATTCCTTACAGGTCGTTGCAAGACCATTCAGATCTTTATTCCTAGCAATTCCGCTTCCATCAGTTCTATCCTTTACCGATCTTGAACATTACTTCTCCCATTGTGATTAAAGGTCTTAATAATAATTATAAAAGATTTGGAGAAATTCAAGCACTGCATAATCTTAGATCAATTCAGAAACATTTGGAACATCAAAAAAATGAATACCACATCAAGCTAGTTGACTTGTAAAGTGTTTTCTTCTAATCTTCTTTTTCTTGTGGTTAAGTTGGCCAACAGAGTATTTGATTGCCGATATAAGGCAAATTACATTAACTTCACATTTCATAGAATTATATCAGTTAAATTTTGTGGTTTGTTATTATTCGTTGTCAACGGATTTCACTATCCACTCTGCATTAAATATATTCAATATCAATCATTTCATATGATTTGCTTTTACCTACCTCACATATCAATTTTAAAAGCTTTAAAAAAACTTATCTAAAAAAACAGAAAGTGGCACAATTAACTTACTAACAGTCAGTTATTTATGAAGTTACATTATTCTGTAAAAACAACTTGTAGTTCACCCAATAACCAAAAATATCCTATAACACGGTATTCGTAATATTTTCCATCGAGGAAACCAGATTTTCTTCAGCAAAAAGACAGGTGTAATACTTTCCAGAGTGGAGAGAAAAAGTAGAATGGCAAAGCTTAGATAAGTAAACAATACACAGGTTAATAGCAATAGGAAATTGTGGTTAGCGAGTATTGAATAACTTCACATTGTGGGAAGAGAGCAATAACAAATTTATAGGGAAACTTATAGTAAGCAGTATTGCTGATTGAAACGAATTCAGATTTGATCGTATACAATTTAGTACAACTTCAGATTTTTATTAGATTTACTCATCACTTATGAGAGGTCTAATTAACGTCAAAATCGAATAACCTCAAAATTAGAACAGAATTAAATCTTAGGGGCTGAGTTAAGCATAGTGGCACATGAAGAGGGAAACTTATAGTAAGTAACAGCAATGAACTCTGTAAAAAGCATTTATCTGACACAACTTCAAACTGTTCAAAACGAGTAGAAATCCTTTGTGGATGCTACAGAAGTTTCGGTGAGAAAAGCAACCTGCAAAGGCAGGAGGTGTAAGTCGTAATTTCTTGTGGGAGTGACAATTATAGTTGACTTTTTACAAAGGAGTGTTGAAAGTCTACAGAGCAATGGCGGACAAGATGAAAAAGATAGAAAAGTCAATAAGGCGAAGTGGGAGTGAAAAGAATGCGGTGGTGAATTTAAGAGGAGACCTCGGTGGTAAGCAATATTGTTGTCTGAGAAATTCAGATTTTCATACATGATCTCAGTGTAACCACAGATTTTTGCTTAGTACTTACGCGAATTTCGATTTTCAACAGATTTCTTAAAACTAATTTAACTTCCGACTATAACTGGTAGTAAAATCATCATAAATTTATAAAGCAAAATTTGAACTAGCTTTTTCGGAAAAGAGATGTGATATACTCTCACTTAATAATTAGATCTGTGTTTTTATATATTTAGTAATAATGGAAATTAATCAAATAAAACTTAATGAAGTGTGAATGGATTATGAGAGGAAAAGAAAAAGTATGCTAAAAACTATTGCAGGCTTTCAGCAGTGTCATTTTGATAACTTTTTAAAGAGTATAGCGCTGTGCTATAACCTATGCTTATTCTGTTAAGTAACCTTACCTATATCATTCGAATATCGATTGTATGGAAAACACCAATTTGAACAATGTTTGATTGGTAGAAATAATTGTATGGAAAGCATTAATTTGAACAATGTTTGATCGAGGGCGTAGTTCTCGAAAGTGACTGTGTGTCTGAAGTATTACAAAGCCGTTCTCCGGAAGTGATTCATAAAGTCATGAAAAAAAGTAAATATGGCATGATATTAGGCATACAGACTCAAATATTCAGTGAACTTTTTAGTGATCATTAATGAACAGCTTCATGTTTTCAGAATCGATGTATTAGATAGTGTTGATTTTTCACATAAGTTTTTATTTTACCCAGACTATCAGTAAATGAAAACGAAGTGTGACAGAACAACTTTGCAATTCGTCGGTAGTATTCAGTTTTTAACAAAAGAACTATAAGGCAAAGCTGTTCAATAGGAATTAATCAGTTACTTTCTATGAATTACGTCAGATCACCAATTACAATGAACAAACCTACCGCAAACTCTTTTTTGGAACACATGGGAATTCCAACGTATTGTTGTTGCATGGTGTACTTTTTTAGTTGCACTATTGCATTTTTCAGTTGTTGAACAAATAAAAACTTCTTGAACTATTAATTCGTGAAATTAATGCACAGTAGCATATGAGTAATAATTTTATTAGATGAATTGCAAAATAAACTTTTAAATTAAATGAGTCTCAAGTAATGTTTCATAAATTAAAGTAATTAATAAGCACTGGTAATTTATTTTTTTTTGTCCTTGAGAAACTTGTACATTCTGATCAGAAATATTTTTCCTTTCAAACGGTTTGTATTGTGTTTTCGCCATTATTTTTGTTGAAACACCTGGGTTGGTTGTTTTGGATCAAAATCTTCAACTCTGCGTCTGATTCCTAGTGGCTTACTGAAATCATCAGTTACTTCGCATTTTTAAGTACTATTTTTTTCTTCCTCTCATATGCATTTCAAAATGATACACCATAAAAACTAACTGCTACAGCAGAAAATTGTTTAACAGATATGCCGTCAAGAACCTGAGTTCTCAACGGCATATCTGTTAAGCGTTTTTTTAAAGGAAGGGTTACAATATGATGAGAAGTGAAATTTCGAATTCGTCAAGCAGATAAATTCCAAACAAAATAATGCTAGTTAATGTGATGAATCAGAGCTGATGTTATGAAATACATGAAATTTTAAATAAAGCAATGTAAACTTAACGTAGTCTGAATAATAAAGGCTAAAATTATATTTTCTCTATCCGATTCTTTAGGTTCCGACCCACTTAACTCGATGGAAGAACCTTGATATTTCCAATTGTTATACTACATATATATATACTTCGCATTATGGAAAATCAATCCCGTGATACTTGAATGATACACCATACGATGTTCTTCAGAATTACCTTCCCGTTGCATTCATTACCTATGCAGTTATTTTTTATCACTAACACAGACACTTCAATTTGAAACTAGTTACACACCAATCTTTCATTTACGACTTTATGCCCAAATCTGGAATTATGTTGCCGGACAAAAAAACTTTATCTTAAGAAACGTAATCAGTAAACAGTACTATTTCATTCGTAACAGCATAAACTTAATAGAAACGTCAGTAGGTAAACATGGACAGAGAATTTTCTATAGCAATGACAACATTACGAAAAGTCCTACTAAACAGATTCACCATAAACTGCAAGAAAAGCACAAATGTAACACGTAATAAGTGAAAAAAAAAAAAAAAGAAAAACATAAATCAACGCATATAATATAATATGCCATATGCATTTCAAACAACACAGATATTTGCATAAGTAATGAATACTACATTTTCTGGAATAAAAAGAGGAGCTGAAATGCAATAATATTCCTGAAATTAGCATTATAAAACATTTTATTATGCATACGCATAATGATCTGTATTAACATCAGGAAACTCGGTTAGCAGTAATAGCGCTAGCACATCCCAACCAACAAAGCAATTATCAGTGATATCAGGATTGTGAAAATTACTCGTCTGTTTAAAAAAATTAGGACCAGAGGCTTTTGAATTGAAATACTGTATAATTTGGTGGCAAATGAAGAACACTTCACAGACTTCATAGAAGCACAGATGGTAATCCTTAAAATTTGTCATTTTAACTTACGGCATTTGGTATGAAATTCTTCGTCATTTCTGCAAATTCGAAAACATCAATAATAATAAAGGAAACAATCCATAATGTTATGCAAAATTTTGGTAAGGATAACCAAAGATGACACTGAGTGATCCATCCATTTAATAGTTCAGCACTGCAGCGAAGTTAGATTCAGATATAATTCCGATACAACTAAGTAATATTTACAAAGAAGCAGTGATGCACTTTCAAGAACCAACATACTAAAATTAAAGATACATGAGATTTTTCACAGTTTAAAGTGAAATAAAGAAAACTTGGAATACATTTATACTAGAAATTATACTTGTGTATGTGCTCGAACCAATTTTCAGCAGTATCTACTTCCAGAAAGCTGAAAAAAACCCATTTTCAACCACCTCATACTTCAACAATCTGGAGAGTCCAAACGAAAATATCATAAATAATATTCTCAGAAACATTATAAACAACATTGTAATAAAATCAGTATCATAACACTGTGCAAAGACCAACTTCACATACGCCATTCCAACCAATAATTTCCAAAAACAAAGAAGACTGCAGACAATAAAAATACCAAAACCTTAACATAAAACTATTGATTGCTTTTAAAATTTGAACCCACGCATGTGTTTTATATACCGTGCAAAGTGGTCTATTTCTCTGCACATATATCTCCCAGAGCAACAATAATCATTCAAACGATCAACGCTTCTATCTTCATGAAATGACAGTCCATCAGTTTGAGTACTATTTGTCTCAGTCAGTTTTCTCTGTTCAATCTGGCTTGCCATGGAACATCTATAGAATAATCGAATTATTATTCTCGCAGTAATTTGTGCACGGATTTCAACTACCACAAAACACGAAGGATTGGAACTATAAAATAAAATAATATATAACATACTTAGAAAAGTTGAATTCCTCAAATTTCTTCAAACCTTTTCAGGTGCAAAATAAGTGTAAAATAAAATTTGGCTGAAATGGCATAGAAAAAGCCTACATTTCTGCTACTTCGGTTGTTGTCATACATTCTTTCATTCTACGCAATCCCAAAACCAACTCATAATTGAACTTTGACTTAACCTTCGCAAGTTTCGCTTTCAATTCTTCAGAAGTTTCGTATTTTTTACCATTCTAAATGCTTTTAGCTCAATGAATAAGAAATTATAAATTCCGATAGTACAAAATATACAAACGAAAATTAGTGAGTGAAACATTACGAACGTCGGATGATAATTTCTAACCACTAAGTTTATTCGCTGGAAACTGAACAAAGAAGGAATGAACAGAAAACAAAAATTGAAAAAAAAAAATGGAATTAGAACTTTTTTCCGCTGATGTATCTCGCCTCGCTTTGGATTCAATTCTTCCAAATTGTGACTTCCTATCAAACTGGGTTTCCTCACATATTTTTCGTCCGATCGATCAACTGGAATTCCCTGCAAATTAAAGTAAATCATTCACAAATATAAATTATTCAAATGAAGAAAGAGATTTTTTTCCACAATTCTCTAAAGTCGCCTTGTTTGAGAAATATAATTGGAAGTCAAATCCATGCGGTATTTCAAACTTTTTAAACCTCTAATATTCTTCAGTGCAGAAATTTTTTTTCAAAGGAAAACAAGGCGACGGCGCTACTGCTGATTGGAATTTTAGGAAGTAGTCATAGCCTTCAAAAATGCAGTTCAATGTATGTTAAAAATGCATCCTATCCGGTAACAAAAAAACAGAATTATATAAAAGACGGCTTTTTCGAACAGTGTTACCTGAAGGAAGTTCTCAGAAAAACGAATGCTATTTGACCAAATCAAAAAATTCAATTTACAGTCTATTTAGGCGTAAGCTAAAAACCCTGTTTTGATACGCTAAAACTTAATAAATCTGGTTCATATTTCGAAACATTGGTGAATTCAAGTGTCTTGAAATCAGAAAAACAAATATAATCCGTCGCTGAACCACTTAGTTTTGCCTGATGCATATTTTCCTTATTTTCTCCTTTTTAAATGAATAATATTGTTCATTAAGGCTATAGTATATGTCGAGTAGTGTGATTTCAACAATTTTACTCCATAACTTACTTCATTAAATCTACAAATCAAAAACGGTTCATATCGCACAGTTGAACCGAAACGAAGACTGGCGTACCGCAACCATTCCTCATCGGACAACACATTTCGAATAGCAAGAATCTGATTCCTTAAATACCTTTTCTTCCTGCAACTCATACCATGTTTTGGTATGCTAATGTCTACAGTGAGATCTGTTTTGTTGTTTAGCAAGCAAAGAGGTTTTTTGTGACAAGATTTTTCATGATTATTTATGTTCTCACTGTTTTTATTTACAGTACCCACTCGTAACACCATCAGAGTATTTTTCCGCGTTAAATCGAAGTTATATGGTGATCGTATCTGAAAAAAGCTTTACGGTTACAACTCATGTAGGAGTATGACGAGTATGCCATCAAAAAAACTCACAAAAAACAGCTCATTTAACAAGTTTCATATCCCGTAGTGTACCTAATAGTTAAAATTTCGACAGTCTTATCAGTTCCTTTCTTTATTAACCAAATCCAATACAGCCTTATCCATTTGAGAATGCTAAAGTTATTACTGCCAAAGCAGAACCACTCTATGCTACAATCTCGCAATTAATTTGAATCAGTTCACTTGCTGGCAAGTTCAAATCTACAAAGAAATGAATAAATAAAGAACAAATGAATAAATAAATGACCTTCAATGAAATCAAATTCTTTAAAAGTACATCAGGGATTTCATTATTCGTCATATTCCTACATATGTTGTAAAAATCTTGACTGGAATAGATGCGTTTCTCCGATTTATGATGCAATGAGGTCGTGTCTCCATAGAAATTAGATTCTTTTTCACATTCTCGCAAGTCTGAACCAATCCCGATGAATTCGGATACGTTTCCCTCACCCCTTTCAATATCATAACTTTGCTGACTATGCCAGTTCCTTGTTGTGTAGGGCTACAAGAGAAGTGTTACAATCAGTATTTGACATCACTTATATCAGCATACATAACGAGAACGTAAATTCAATTCCAAATGAACGTAAACTCAATCCCGAAAAGACGAACTTAAATCTCTGAAAAAACTTGGACTGTATTTTGTAAACTGAAAAACAGAACGCATTTGCATTACGAGACTATACAAATTTATTCAACACTTACACGGAAGTCTTCAGAACTGTTAAAAAATCCATCGTCATAGATGAGATTGCTAGGCCACTCCTCTCTTGCTCGTAATAGCTTAGTTCGAAGTTTTCCCTCGACAACGAAATCACTGAACAACTTCAGCTCTTTATCACTATTGATAATTGTGAAAGCAGCACCTTGTGTACCTAAAGAATATATATTTAACATATTTATTTATGACAAAAACAAAACTACAATGAAATTTGCAACATAATTTTTTGCAACTTTAAACTTGATAATACCAAAACGTCCAGCACGCCCAATTCGATGCAAATAAGTAGCTAATATAAGTGGACTTCCATAGTTGACCACAATATTGACGCCTGGAGCATCAATTCCTCGTGCTGTCTAAAACACTAATTTGCAGAAAAACTCCAGCTGTAAAAGTTTATGTGATTAAGTCAAAAAAAAAAAAAAAAAAAAAGTGAAAAGTGAAGCACTGTGACCAAATAGCAAAGGAGATTGCGCAGAAAAAGAAAAAAGATTTAAGATCGATGTTTTGAAAAACTTACAAGATCGGTTGAAATGAGTAATTTAACCAAGCAGTTTTTGAGTCTCCGTATCGCTTTTGTACGATCAGTTTGTGGCATGCTACCAGAAATGCTAACCGCATCAAATTTCGCTCGTTGTAAATCTGCACAAAGCTCCTCACATCTGAAATAAAGCTTCAATGCAGCAATTTTTTCCTTTTTAAATGCCACCAACAAACAAATTAACTACATTATTTTCAATTCTTCCGAAAGCACATCAAAAATACATTGTAGAACTCAATTTTTATGATCATTGACAAAGATGATACATTGACCATAACGAAGGTGAACCAATAAGCGCAGCAAAACGTTCATTTTCCTGGTTCCATTGCGAGCAACAATCACGTACTGTTTGACACCAAGTAACTGTGCATCTTTATCCACACGCACCAGGTGTACATCTGTAGGATAATTATCCTGATACAAAAGACTTAAAAAAAAATAACGATAAAGAAATCTACAATATATTGAAGACCAAGAAATCAAATTTTCACAGCTCAAATTTTTTTTTGCAAAATTCTTCCCAAAGTTCGATTTTGGTGCCGTAGGATGACAATAAGTTATGACTGGAATCATATTCAAAGTCCAAAAACAATATTACATAATTCTAAATTTTTTAGGAAACCCATAAATACAGGCTCATCAAAGTGACGTTGCTGGAACACTGCCTATTCAGTGAACAAACTGGGAAATGTATTGACTGCAGCAACGAGGTAGATTTATGGTCACGCCTAATAAATGGGTATGTCACCATACGCACATTATGGATTGGTGATAAGTGACCAGTTTTGTTCACTATATAAAAATAAGTAATGAATAAACCTCTCATGTAGTGCATAAGAGTTGTATCCAGCCTATATGGATAAGTAGCTGAGAACACAGCTATTTGCTTTTCCGGTGGCAGTGTAGAGAACAGATAACTAAATGAAATTATATTTAACAGGCAAGAAAGACACAATGAAATGCTGCAGTTCTCTCGCTTTGTGATTTGATACAACAATATCAAAATCGTCCAACAGCTAAAAATTACAAATCTTCCCAATTTTCATTTACTTCATGATAATTTCAACTGGTTTCAGCAAACTAACTTGATTTCTTTCTGAAAACTGTCTTCCATAAGCTTATCAGCCTCGTCCAGAACAAACAACCGTACATGGGATAGCCGCAATGCGTTGATTCGAACAAGATGGCAAAGACGGCCTGTTGTTCCAACAACAATGTGAATACTTTTCCTGAGTTTTTGAATATCTTCCGCAACGCCCTTCTCATTTCCACCAACAAACATCCTAATAACAACCCAAGAATTACGTGACGCGTAACTTACTAGTCAAAAAAGCAATTATATGAGGAAGATTACCCCACATGGATCACAGAAGGAGCAAGCATTCTGATATAAGAGACTATTTGTGAAGCAATTTCACGAGTTGGAGCTACGATCAACACTTGTGGACGCCCAAACTGAGCATTCAGGTTTTCTACAGCCAACAAAGAAAAAACCATTGTTTTTCCAGTTCCGGATTTTGCTTGTACGAGCAAATCTGCAGTGAGCTTTAATTATCTCCAGCCAAATTTTGAAGCGAGAAAGTGGAAATGTCTAGGAACTTGACAGAATTATTATTACTACAGAAAATTTTGCACACGAAATGAACTACCAAGTCCAAGCATGCCAAATGGGATAGCTTGAGCTTGTACTGGAGATGGCTTGATGAAACCAGCTTTAGCTAATGCGTTCAACGAAGTTCGATTAAGCATTAGCGAACTGAAATCAGGGACATCCGTCTCGACATCTATAGTTCGTACTACCTCCCCCATATTCATGACAAAACTGAAAATTCATATATTTAGAATCCAAATAGCGAGCCATTACAACCCTATTAAACTACCGTTTTAATCTCATTGCTTTTTTAGACAAAACGATATCAACAAACGATACTGTTCATAATTTCTTGCAGATGTCTCATTTCTGCCAACCTCTTCACTCATTATTCAATAAGCTATCCATTTTCATTTCTTCAGTGCAAAACAGAGGAAGAAGAGTTATCAGTTCACAGTTCTTATTAAGATTCATTGCATTACTCGTTTTTGAAAATGTAAAACCGTTATACTTCATAACGTCTTGGGACCTATATTCCAGTTTCCCACAATCTCAAAATTCATAATAGCTGCATAAGATGCGATATAACTCCCGTCACCTACCCACAGATGAAAATCTCCGAAACCTTTCGAACTAATGACACTTCCTATTGCCTCAACAAAAGTGCAAACAAACGATAAACTTAGACTCACTACAACAGTCCGTTGCGAAAACATCCATCCTATTGCCAATCAGGGTCTGTTATCCCTTCTACACTGATGTGTGGTGGAACACTCCATAAGAAGACAGTTGGAATTCACTGGAACGGAGCTCTGTGAATAACGTTTTTCTAGTTCCTATCAGCCATGGTCAGTAGTGGAGTTGTAAAGGGGTCTTTGTTGTAAAAGCAAAGAAGAAAAAAATTCCTTGGAACTGGACATCTGCAAGACTTGAACTATCGTACCGAATTTCAAAAGTGAAAATTGCTTGAAAGGTTTGTACATATACACATTTTTACGATTATTCCAGCCTTACGATCTTAGCCTTAGCTTTAGGATAATGTCGTACATTTCATCCTTGTAAAACAGATACAGGCCTACCGTTTCTACATACTGAGTCTAAAGCACAACAGAAAGGTGCTTAAAAAGTTTTGGTCGAAGATCTGTCAACTGCTCCTATGAAGGCAAGTCAATTTCATTAACTGATGATGACAGAAAACCCATCCACAATAAAATTGTGAGAATTTACCTAAGTTCTTTACAAAGATAACCAACCTAAGACAACTCACTAAAGAGAAATTTGACCGCTAAACGTTGAAGCATAATCCTGTAAATTGTACGGAGTGAAGTGACATATGACGAAATATTTGAAAATCTTCAGAGATAAGTCTTACTAAATAATAAATGTGGAAACAAGATGCTGAGATTCTTCAGTTTGTTTCATAAAAACATTTTAGTGATGCTTTTTCCAAAAATGACTCATATTTCTATATTTACAATTTCTATGGCCGAACAATGTTTCTTCACTATGTCATACGAGCAATCCCAAATGTGAGCAATGCAAACAATTCTAATGACCGAGCATTTCAAGGTTATTCGGTTTTTAACTGTGCTGAAGAGCTAACAAAAATAAGTGTGGCTCATTGTAGCATTACGAAGCAAAACAGTGTATCCCGAAGTACTTCTAGCATTCTTTTTCCGTTTACGAATTAAGCCATTCGCTCAGAATTTTTGTCTAATGAATACTTGATAACTGTTGGAAGTATCCATTATTTATTCCATCATGATGAAGTAACATACTACGACATATGAACTGCCAAGTAATACTTATTATAATCAAAAAAAAAAAACAATGATACACATTATAATCAAATCTTTCATTGCAATAGTGCAAGTTGTCATAAATAGGAAGAGGTGTCCCCACCAGCTTCCATATATGAAAAACTGGTCAGTGGTGGAATTGACCTCTTCCTGAGAAAGAAATTACTACTTCATAAAGAGCATAGCTCAAGGATGTAAGCCCGTAACAATTTGATGCCATCCATATAATTCACCAAATTTATTTTTTCGTTCTGCGAGTAGGCCATGTCATCTGATGATCTGATGGGTAATAGAAGCACACTGTTTCTCGTCATCTATTGAAATATTTTGGTAACTGGTATGCTATCACCTTCTCGAATGTAATCCGGTGCTATACCACACACTAAAAACGCAGTTGTAAGACAGCAGTGAAAATTTGGTGAGTGAAAAAAGGAAAAGGATTTACCTTTCTAGATAGCTCTTGCTGCATACTGATAGGAGAATCCTTGAAGTCAGATAACCAATAAATACCAGAATGAAGTGGCTTTATTCTGAAATGATCTCCTTTATTCATAATAACTACAAAGCAGCAAAGCTTGCAGGTAACGACTAAGCCATTTACTCGAAGTGATTGGGAGAGAACTTCTAATCTTCCGTAATGCGTTCAAATGCTGTCAAACAAACTCTGTTCACTTTCGCTGGCTTCATCTTTGGCACAAGTCGAATGCTGAACTTTCCAGTTACTTTGGCAGGAATGACCATTTCACATCTTCGCCACTAGATGCTCCTACGATTCCTTTAATAAATAGAACACAATTTAAAAATATATAAGACGCGTAACTCGTTGTACCACCATTAAATCATAGTACAGAAAAAGCAACACAAGCATTGCTCATGAAACTTATATGATTATAGATATAGCTGTAACGAATAATATAGATCAGTTATAAAGATAAAAGTTGGCAGTCAAGAAATGCACCATGTAGTAAAAGAGTAAGATATCTCCATCGTTTCATCAGTATTTTTTCTTTCGAATCGCTTAATAATTTGATGGCACCAATATCGGCACGATATTCCTCCTGAACAATGAGGAAATGATTTAGTTTCATACCACAGTGGCAATAAATAATACATATCACACCGAAATCAAGGGTTTCGTACAATTTCCTTTCTTCATTCGTTACTGAAGCCACCAAATTCATAATATCTTGAATCAAGATCTGCCATTGGCTCGTATCTAGAACAAATAGTACCTTTTACATGGTCTGCGTTACATGATTATATGATCTTCGTTAACTATTTTAATGATATCGGAAAAACCGAAATTTTACAGCACATCGAAATAAATTTGTGACAAATCTATAAGATGTAATAAATAATTACCTAATTCTTATCCTTTAAACTGTAAATAAGCTTATGTACAATATCGATATGTTGCAACTTATGCTTAGCAATCTTATGTGAATTGCTGCAATGTTGTAAGGGAAGCCTCGTGCATTGCCGGAATGTTCTAAATAAATCATTATATCTGATTTTCAGTCTACTCATTTGTAAAAGTCTACTGTTGCAAACTAATGCCCACACTATGTAAGTTAAATCCTTTGTCTGGAACCTTTAGCGATAGCAAGCTTTAATTCGGCTCGTTCCAGCACTCCCTGTACATCTCATTCATCTCTACTCAACAACAACATTCAGCTAATCTGAGCCAAATTTCCCTGCGCTTAACTACTTGTGGTATTATGTTTGATATTATCTCGTAATTCTTATAATGTCGTTAAAATAAAGTTTATTCCGACTATTCGTTTGTGCCAACCGGTCAACAATAAGTTCAAAGAAAACCTAAAATATATGGCAGCGACGGGATAAACTACATATTACGATAATTTGATGGAATATTTTCAACAAGTAATGGTATAAATCACAGATTTTTTTTTTTCATTTGATAAGGATAAAAATATTTCTATGATATCAATACAGAAAACCCCTTGGATCATATATGTCCATAATGCATTTAGATTAATAGTCAAAAATGAACTTACACTGAGCCTCCGAATATGCCGCTATGTAAGTCCGGCTTGTAATCAATTATCTCGATGAAATAGTAGTAAGAACTCCTAAGCACAGCGCATAAATAACGAAATCAAGAGGTAACAGAGATTAATAAAGGATATCGTCACTCTTCTATTAGGTCTATGAAAAACAGTTAAAAGCATAGCTAAGTGTTCATGTAGATGCATAAATAAGTGGGGTGAAATAAGGGCCATAAAGAAATATAAAAATTGCAGTGATTCTAATACTACAATGTGTCATGTCAAAAATCAATCTGGACACCTCAAGTCGTACGAAATGCAAGGCTTGGTTTTGCCAAGCTAGTAGCTATCAGATATACAAGTGAAGTTAATATTATTCAGGAAAGTGTCCTTGTTCTCTAATATTTCTTCCACTAAAAAAAAAAAAAAATAAAATAAAAAATAAATAAAAAAAAAAAAAAATGAGCCACTTTCTTCCATTGCTTCAAAACAGAACTTCAAATCAGTAAAATGCATAAATGGAGTCTACAACACTCAATACTGCTTTTTCGATGGTAATATATGCTCGAACGTGGTACGTCTTCCTTCCTTAATTCACGCTTTTATAGGGATACTGATCTCGGATAAAATCAATAAAAACTTCTGAGACCATTCTGAATTCACCTCTTTAAAGCAACTACAACATTAGTGTTCACATGTGTTGAGCAGTAGTGTTCTATATTGCAATTTATATCACCCAATAGTGTTCTATATTGCAATTTATATCACCCAATAACTTCCTATAAATATGAATTAACTCCTGTTATTATCCGCATCACGTTTATAACACATTTAATATGAAAAAAAAAAATCGTAACAATGACAATCCAATGATTAATATTCGTATATCCGTAGCCTGAATTCCATGACTACCTACTATTCAATTATAATAAACTGCTCAAATTATACCTTTATATTTACTCGTATTGGGATTTCACATTTATACAACGTTTCCAGTGCATTTATCCATGCAACTACTGGTCCTTTGTCGTCGGTTGAGCCACATTCACATAATTCCCCACCCTGAAAGCAATTTCATATATAGTTTTTTCTTTACACAACCTAAGAATTATGGGATCATGTCATGACAGATAATTTATCACAATGGTCTCACAACAGTCTTCGAAATTTCCAAGATATATTAAGCTTTTCTCGAAAGACTCGTATTACTGTGACGACCATTTCATTCATGTTCAATATGAAGTAACCACTAAATTTATCTCTAAATGTGAAATGGTAAGGAACTGCACCGATCGTGAAATTGCAATTATAAACAGTATATTATGCACCTATTCAACAAGACTGAAAGATTCTGTATTTCCAACTTTTCAGCAGGTTATATATCCAAATGACCATAAATGAGAAGTGTTTTTTTGG